CGCCTCCCAGTTCGCCTGCCGCAGCGGCGAGTGCGTGCACCTGGGCTGGCGCTGCGACGGCGACCGCGACTGCAAGGACAAGTCGGACGAGGCCGACTGCCGTAAGCCCCCAGCCCCTCCTCATTGCCCCCGCCCCACTGCCTCTGAGCCCAGGGACTGCGGATCCCGCCTGAAGGCATTTTCCCCTTTTACGAAGTTGCTTGCGGGGAGTGATTTGTTTGAGGGCGCGTGGCTACTAAACGGTGGAGCTCAGGTCTAACTTCCCAGAGTCTTTGCTGCTACCTGCGTCTGGGAGGTGACCCCCTCCCCGGCATACCTGCCCGTCCCCTGCCCGAAGACCTTGATACCTTCAGGCACTCCTCAGCCCTCCTTACCTGCTGGGCCAGCTCCTCCTTCCAGGCCCCTAGCCCTCCCAGCCGGGTCGGGCCCCTCGCCCCCTCCCCTGGGTACCGCAGGCCCCTGAGCCGCCCTCTCTTACAGCACATCTCCCCTGTTCACTCCTCGGTCCCCTCTGCACCCTGAGTTCCTAGGGGAGAGGGAGGCTTGTAGTTGTCTCTGGGTTCCTGACCCCTCACAGTGCCTGGTACACAGGGGGTACTCAAGAAGGTTTGCCAGATGGATGAGCCATTAAGTAATGAGCCCCAAGAAGCAAAGGGCCATGTGTCTGCTCTGGAGGGTGGCACTGGGGACAGGCAATGCATAGGAAACAGGAGACCTGAGTTTTTGTCCTGGCTCAGCCAGCCCGAGTGCTGTGTGACCTGGACAAGGCCTTTCTCCTCTCTGAGCTTCAGTCTCCCCACGTGTAATTGGAGGTGCCTTGGCCAGGTGCTCTTGGAGGACCCCCAAAACTCAGCCACTCTTGTTCTGTTCTGGGGGTAGGGGGCTGCTGTCCCAGCACCATGCTGGCCCTGATCCTCTCCCTGCTGCTCTCCCAGCAGCACTGGGGACCTGCCGTGGGGATGAGTTCCAGTGCGAGGATGGGACTTGTGTCCCTGCCATCAAGCGCTGCAACCAGGAGCAGGACTGTGCAGATGGAAGTGATGAAGCTGGCTGCCTGCAGGGTACGTGGGGCAGGCAAGGGGACTGGGACTGGGGCAGGGGCAGGGGGGTCTCCCCTTGCTTCCTGAGATGTGACTTCCCCCAGAGCAGCACTTGCCCCTAAATCACCCAGATTCCCTCCCATGGAGTTCTAGTGGCTCCAGAACTGGATTTCTAAGGACTTTGCAAAAGCTGAAAGAGGCCTAGTGGGACATGAAAGGCACTGCAGGAAGTCCAGCCCCACCATTTGTCCACGTCCAAGCTCTGGAGTGGCTTCCCTCCCTAGCTCCCAGACTGAGCCGAGGCTGAGTCCTGTTCTCCTGGGAGCCCCCTTCTTTCTCAGATGGCTCTTCTGGTTACCCCTACTAGTAGGAGCCAGGATCCTGACCCACTGGTCATCTGGGGGAATGGATAAGGCACCCTCCCCTATCCAGGCTCCTGGGGCAAATGTCCTCCCCTCAGGAGCTTCCAGAGTATCTACAGCTATAGCGCTATCCCTCCCAGGGCCCCATTACTGCCCGATCAGACCCAGACCCCCATAGTCCTGCCCAGCTAGATGATGCTTGGGGTGGTCCTGAGGTCCTGGTCATTCCTGGGATCCTGTCCTTCTATGAACAGAGCGCCCACCACCCTGCATGGGGGCTCTATGTCCTGGATCACCCTCTCGAGACCAGCGATGGCTGGGGCTGGAGCTCCATCGCCTCCCATGAGGCCGGACCCAGCTGCAGCCCGTCCTTCCCAAGACCTCACAGGCGCTGTCCACTCTCTTGTCCGGCCTGACAGAGTCCACATGTGAGGGTCCCCGCAGATTTCAGTGTAAGAGTGGAGAGTGCGTGGACGGCGGGAAAGTGTGTGATGCACAGAGGGACTGCCAGGACTGGTCGGATGAGCCTCAGAAAGAGTGTGGTACAGTACCTGTCTGCTCCCACGCCGGACTAACCCTCCCCACCACTCCTTGCTGCTGGCATCGGGGCTTGAGGCCCTTGCCTGCCCCTCTGCGCTCCCCTGCCTTCTGCTTTGACTCTCTCTCTGGACTCAGGTGCTGTCCTGGGGCCTCCCACTCTGCATCCCTACTGGTCTTTGGGTCTCTGGGGGTCTTTCCTTTCCAGACTGAATGTTCCAACATTGTGCTTCCTCTCACAAACCTGGCCTTGCTCCTCTCTCCTTCGTGTTCAGACTTCTGAGTGTGTGTTCCCTCTGGCACTTTCTCTCCTCCTCGGTCTTCCTGCCTAGCTGACCTAGCCAGGGCTCTGGCCTCTAAGGACTCCCAGGCTCTGCAGGAGGCCCTGCAGAGGGAGAAGTGGGGAACAGGAAGCAGCGGCCAGTTGAGGTACATCCTGAGGCCATCTGGCTCAGGTCAGGCCCGGCTGGGGTAGGTAGACCAGCAGCAGGAGGTAGCACCATCCTCAGCGCTGAGGAGCTCAGACTTGCTGGGGAGACCAGACTTACAGGCTGGACACGTGTGAGGAACAGTGAGGCAGCTGCCCTGATGTCTAGAGCTGTCAGGGTGGGCTCTAGGCTAGAAAGAACAGGGACATCTGGCCTAGTGGGGAGGTGGGCATCCCAGAGAACATGCCAGAAGCCCAGTGTAGGCTCCAGAAAAGAATCATCTCTCTGCTGATCCCAGGAGGTCAGGGGTGGAGGGAGATTTGGACAGAGACCCCCCGGAAAGAAAGAGCCTAAGTGAGCCCCTCCCTCCCCTACCTTCCTGGCAGACCTGTTTTCACCCAGCCCATGACACTTAGAGGAGCTTATCTTGCGGAGCTCCCGAGAAACAGCATGTTTTCTCCCCTTTGGGAGATAAAAAAACTAGTTTTGAAAGGAGTATTTGGGTAAAGGCCACTCAGCCTCCACCTGAGCTTGCAGGATATAGACCACCCCTCCCCACCCCACCCCCACCGAGGTTCTGCCAAAAGAAGTCCCAGGAGAAGGAACCAATGGAAGAGGGGACAGGGAAGCAGGAGCAGCTGAGCCTAGCCACCCCTCCCTGCCCGTCTGGAGTTAGCCAGGGAGTGTTAACCTGCTAAACTCCTCTCTCGTCTTTTGCATGACATGCCAGAAGTATGCGTGCATGTGTTTGTGTCTGTGAGTGCTCTCAGTGTCCTGGCATTGGTGAGTGGACAGCCTCTGTGTCCGAGTTGCCTGAGTAGGGCGGGGGAATGCATACATGTGTCTGCGTGTGTCCCACGTCTGCGACTGTGCCTGTGGGCTCCGAGGCCCGTCTGCCTCTGCACATACGCTGGTGTATATGCAGGTGTGTGCATGTGCCTGGGAAAATGAAACCACTCCTTCCTTCCACGGTGTGCCTCAAATGCTATCAGGACTCTGGGCCCCTCCACCCCCACTTACCCCACAGGTTCCCCAGCAGTATCACCTCCAGGCTAGAACTGGAAAGGACCAGAGACTTCCCTTTAGCCTCAGTCTCACTGCTGGCTCAGAGCCTGGGCAGGCGTTCCAGGGAAGGGGTGACAGGGATGGACCGGTGCAGACCTGCTGTTCAGTCTCTCTCCCCAACCCACCTTAGCCCTGAGGGACTCTGCCTTCTCCTTTCATGGAAACCGGAGTCACTTTGAGCTCTCCCTTCTTCCCCATCCAGAGCCATCGTTCATGCCACTTCACTGGTGCTCAGTAAATACAGTTGTTGAGTTCTTGCTACCTGCAAAAGGGGGTGGGGAGTGAATGGATGCATACATGAGGCAGTGGGTGTTTGAGTGAACACATGAATGGATAGTGTTCAGGGAGGACTTGGAGTGGCAGAAAGATTTCTGGAGGTAGTGGTCCACAGGGACCACCCCAAAGCTACTGTGGCTCAGCCCACCCCATGAGGCTGGGGCTTCCCAGTGCTTGGGCAGGCTGAGTCACCCCCTGGCCACCCAGTCATGGGGTTGCTGTGGTCTTGTTCTTTCAGTTCCACCAACGTCCTGGGGAAACAGGAGGAGGCCCAGGGGTAAAGGGGACATTCCCTAAGCATGTCTCAGCCTGGAATGTGGGGTACCACACAGCTATGCATGGCCTGGGTGGGCAGCTCAGACCAGCTGTGTGCATGGCCACGGCTGGCTCAGCTTGGCTGCAATGGCGGTGCATGTGCCTGGTGGGCAGAGGGGAGGGTGCGGCCCCCTCCCTTCGTTTGCGGAACTAACCTGCTGTAATTCTGGAGCTCAGGTGATGCTGTGAGAACGTGGTGAGCCTTGCTGCTGGCCTCCTGGACCCCCTAGGGCACTGCCAGAAGGCAGTAGGGAAGTGGAGGACAGGAGAACCGGATGACCCCCTGGCACCCCTTTGTCCCTTGCAATAGTTATCCTGGAGCCAGGCCTGTGACTAAGTGTAAGAACAGGGACAGATGCTGAGACGAGAGGCGTTGAAAAAAAAATCCATCATATTAGTTCAAGGTGGGAGAGAATTGACTTAGCATCAGCTCCATAAAGAAAAAGGCCTAGAAGTCTTAGATAATCACAAGCTCAATAGGGGGTAACCTGTGTTCAGACTCCTTCTGGGTGGGAGACTAATTCTGGGCCCTGGTCAGATGGGGTGTGCCCCCAGACAGGAACCTGGATGGCTGGGGACTAGAAACCAGTGCTTTGAAGAGACGCTGAGGGACCGTATGGGCTGTAGCCAACCCTCCACAGCAGGGCAGGGACAGAGGCTGCAGGGAGGCAGATCCTGTGAGGAAGAACTTTGTAACAGGCAGTGCCAAAGTTCCAAAGCTGAGCCGGCTGCCTCAGGAGGGGAGTGAGCACCAGGAGGCTGCAGATGTTTAAGCAGGGGCGTTGCTAAAGAGTTGCTGGGAATGGAATACCCTGAGCGTTGGGCGTGATACACGCAGGTCCCTTCAGCTCTGAGGTCACGAGGAAGGAGGAGTTGCAAGACGCGTGTTTGTGAAAGCAAAGATGTTATGCCCACCAGGGGAGGCCCAGCTGCCTCCAGCCTGGTGGTGGACAGAGCCCTGGCCTGGGAGGCAGGGACCAGAGTTCTGGTTCCTCTCTGTCCCCGTCCTGTGACTAACCCTGAGCAAGTGCCTGTCCCTCTTCTTGCCCACTCACCTGGTTGATGAGGGTGAGGCTCGGAGAGGTCCAGAGCCCTCCTGGCTGTGGCACTGTGGCAGTCCTGCTGCCCCGCGTCTCTGCTTCCGCTCTAGGCCCCACCCCGCCCTGCCCCCACCCCAGCCTGGGCTCCTGGACCCTCAGGAGCCTGCGTCCCTCCCCAGGGCTGAACGAGTGCCTGCACAACAATGGCGGCTGCTCCCACATCTGCACTGACCTCAAGATTGGCTTCGAGTGCACGTGCCCAGCAGGCTTCCGGCTCCTGGACCAGAAGACTTGTGGTGGTGAGACCCTGCCCCCCACCCCGCCCCCAGCAGAGGCAGATGCTCCTGCCAGACCTGACACCTGCTCCTCCCTACAGACATTGATGAGTGTGAGGATCCAGATGCCTGCAGCCAGATCTGTGTCAATTACAAGGGCTACTTCAAGTGCGAGTGCCACCCTGGCTATGAGATGGACTCATTGACCAAGAACTGCAAGGCTGTCGGTATGGAGCCCCCCAGGTGGGGAGCAGGGGGTGGCTCTGAGGGGCACAGGAAGCAGCGGGCTTCTATCATGTGAGGAGTGGGTGCAGGCTGCACACGCAGCGCTCCTCACACACATCCTGCACCACACACTGGCTGTGCACGCACTCACACAACGTACAGTGTATAGACACTGACCCCGGAGATTGCATACGCAGCATAGGCAGCCCACACAAAAATGTGCAGACCTGCACGCTGATCAATTCTGTCAACTTGAATTCAGTCAGTTCTTTATTGAAAACATTGTAGGCACTAGGGATTCAGCATAAACAAAGCAGACACAAATTCCTGTCTGCCCTCATGGGGCTTACATTCTAGTGGGGGAAACAGACAAGAAATGAGATAAAAAAGTAAAATATGCAGCTTGGCAGATATGATAAGGATGAAGGAGAAAATAAAGTAGGGAAGGGGCTAGGATCCAGGAGGGCAGTGGGTTGCAGCTTTAGATAGGGGGAAGGCCTTACAGAGAAAATAACATTTAAGTCCTGGAGGAAGTAAGGGAGTGAGCCTGAAATTATCTGCAGGAAGGAACAAAAGGAACAGAAAGTGCAAACGCCTTAAGACAGGAGCCTGCCTGGTGTGTTCAAGGAACGGCGAGAAGCTGGTGCAGCTGGAGCAAGGAGAATAGGAGGGGATGAAATCAGAGAGGAGACTCGGGCAGATTGCATAGAGCCTTCTAGGCTATTGTAAGGGCCAACTGTGGATTTCACCGTATGCTGGGGGAAGCCATAGGGGGGTTTTGAGGAGAGGATGGACATGGTGTGACTTACATTTTAATGGGCTCCCTCTGGCTGCTGTGTTGAGAATAGGCAGTAGCGGGACAAGAGAAGATGCAGGGAAACAACTCAGGAAGTGATTGCAGTAATCCAGAAGAGAGGCGATGGTGACCTGGACCAGAGCGGTTGCAGTGGGAATGATGAGGAGTAGACAGATGGCAGATATACTTTGAAGGTCACCCAGCAGGGTTTGCTTATGATTGAAATGTGGCATGTGGAAGAAAAAAAGGAGTCAAGGATGACTCCAAAGTTTTTGGCTGAGCAACTAAAAAATAGGATTGCTATTTATGGAGGTGAGAGAAGCAGGCTGGGGGAATATTAGACTGTTGTGGACATGTTAAATTTAAGAAAACTGGTAGATGTCCAAGCAGAGATGTTGAAGAGGCAGTTGGATACATGCGTCTGGGGTTCAGATGCATAAATATAGTACATAACATATAGATTATTACAACACAGCAGCCGCAATACTTGACAGGTAGCTCATAAACCCTAAAAACATACCGCCCAAACCTTAGAATATGCAACACAGCCATAAGCACATCACATGTAACATGTAACAATGTGGGGCATGTGTAATGTACAGATTACATAGGCGCAGTAAGATAGTCACGTAACTGCCCATGGATATACAAAACCTGCACACATAAATATCTGAAGTGCATGTGCACAAAACTCAGATTGTACACAGAGTGCCTGTCACAGCCGCAGATCTCGTAGAAATCACCTCAAGATACCAGCGCCTGCCTTCAGGGAGGTGAAGTGTCATTGCTGTCATTCAGGGACAGGGCAGATCACACGGTTTGTCAGTGGCAGTGCTGGGCTTAGAATCCTGCTTTCCCCTTCCTACACGTGGAGCCCTATTTGTCTGTGCTCTCTGTTTGTACCACACCCTCCCTCTCACCCCCGCCCTGCTTTGCAATAGTCTCCATGGCCACACACATGTCACACACCCAGCGGGCCCTCCATGGCTCTGGGTGGGTCCCATCCTGCCCCTGGGGAACACACTAGCCTGGCCAGATGCCCAGGCATGGGGACCAGGTGGCTGGCAGAAGTGTCAGCTGGAAATCAAGAGTGAGAAGGCACAGGCAGCTCCAGGGACAGGTGTTGCTAGAAGCTGCCACTCAGGTGGTGGTGGTGCCTGAGAGTGGCCTGATGCATCTAAAAACAGGTTGGAGGAGACAAGCTAGAGCCTCACAGGCTCTGGACAGTGGCTGGGAACATCTAGGTCACTGATGGTCTTCCTAAAATCTAATCCTACATCAAATCATGCCGCACCCCTCCACTGGCTCGGGATAAAGGTCAAACTCTTCACCCAGCTGGCAAGGCCGTTTGTGATCTGGCCCCTGCCGACGTCTGCAGCTTCATCTGTTGCTGTGTCTCGACATAACCTCTGCATAAACTCAAGTCTCACAACAACCTCCTTGAGGGTCTCTTCCCTCCAGTCTCACCCCTGGCCCTATAGTCTGTCCTCCAGCCTGTAGCCTCAGTCATCTTTCTAGAAGGTGGGCCCTTGAATACAGCAGTGGGTCCTCAAGCAGAGATGGTGGTAGTTGTTGGGAGAAATGCATTTGAAGTGGAGAGGACGACTTGAGCAAAGTCCCGAGGCGGGAAAGCCTACCACGGCTAGGTAGGACAGGTAGTCTGGGGTCTAGAGTCAAGGTGTGTAAAGGAGTGGGTGCTGAGGTTGGCAGGGAGCTCGGGGTCAGCTGTGGAAGCCTTGAGTGCAGGCCCAAGCAGGAAAAGAGGAGCGGTAAAAGATTTTGGGGGAGTGTGTATCTAATAAGAGTAGAAATCTTACTGTTAAGTGTGATGCTTTGCATTTTATGTTTCCCGTACGCATTGTTTCATCTGCTTCTCTAACCTGTGAGGCAGGAATTATCATCGCTATTTTACGGGAAAATGAAGCGTCATGGGAAAGGCTTTGCCCGCATCACCCAGCAAACCAGTGCAGAGCCTTGGTCTTCAGACTCCATGCCCCTTGCACTGACCCTTTGTCTCCCAATCTCCCTGCACTGCAGCTGGCAAGAGCCCGTCCCTAATCTTCACCAACCGGCACGAGGTGCGGAGGATTGACCTGGTGAAGCGAGACTACTCGCGCCTCATCCCCATGCTCAAGAACGTCGTGGCGCTGGACGTCGAGGTTGCCACCAATCGCATCTACTGGTGTGACCTGTCCTACCGCAAGATCTACAGGTGAGCGGCAGTGCGTCACCTGCAGCCAGGCCTGGGTAGGGCCGGTGGTGGAGCTGCTGACAGAGGGGAGGAAGGGTGGCCTCTGCATGTCCTCTGCCCCTAGGATTCCGTAGGACTCAGCTGGGGCTGGGGAAGGGACACAGGAGCACAGTGGACGTGGAATCAACAGCACTTCACCCCCTGGGCCCACCTGCGAGTTTCTGTCTCCCACTAAACTGAGCTCCTGTTGGGAGAGCAGCTTTGGGCCCCAAGTACCTGAGCTTTCTCTGACCTCTGGTGGCCTAGTGGGGAAGTGCAAGACATAGGAAATGCTCAGAGCAGAAAGGAAGATTTCCCCGGCTTTGGTGAGGACTTTCAAAGACAGCTCACATGTCTGTGTGCTGGACCCTGTGTGACGAATCAGACCTGGTCCTGCCTGGAGGATCCTGCTCATAACATAGTGACAAGCGTTGTCATGACAGCTATGAGGGGAAGTACAGAGAAGACCTCTGACCCCACCCGGCAGCTGGGGAACATCTCCTGGAGGGTACTACCCCCAGTCCAGCCCTTCAGGGAGTCTGTGTGCCATGGTCAGCAGACTATTGCACCTAGGAAGGCCATCTCTTAAGTCTCCTCCCACACGTAAGGAGGTTCCCTCCTGTCTTTCTCAGATACCACAAGCCTGCTTCCCTGCATGTCCAGGCCCCCAATTTGCAGTCATGTCCTCTCTTTGTCCTGAGATCTGCCTGAGAGGAATGTTGATGACCAGGCACTGGCTGGTGGAAAGAATGATAATAGAATGTATGGATAGATGGATGGATGCATGGATGGATGGATGATGGATGGATGCATGGATGCATGGATGGATACACGGATGGGTGGAAGCAAATGTACCACGTGCTACTCAGTGACAACTAGATGCTTACCCCCAACACAGACAACTCAGCCCAAATTCACACACCCAGAAACAGAGCTAGATCAGTCCCTGTTCAACAGTTGTGACTGCAAGAGACAGGATTTGATGACAGACTGTACATGGGGTAGATGGAGGAAGAGTCAGCATTACCTCCCAGGTCTCTGGCTGGGAGGTTTCATGGTCTGTGGTGCTGTTCTGAAATGGTGTCTTGGTTATCTAGGGCTGCTGTAACAGAAATACCACAAGGGTGTGGCTTCAACAAACAGAAATTTAATTTCTCAACGTTTAGGAGGCTAGAAGCCCAAAGTCAGGGTGCCGGCTCTAAGGAAAAGCTTTCTCTCACTCTTGGCTCTGGAGGAAGGTCCTTGTTCCTTAGTGATCATCACATGGTGTGACATCTACCTTCCCTCATCTCTGCTTGCTGGCTTGCTTATTTAATCTATTTTATATCTCAAAAGAGATTGACTCAAAATACACCTGACACTAATCCTGCCTCATTAACAGAACAAAGACATTCCCAAATGGGGTTATAACCGCAGCATAGAGGTTAGGATTCACAATACAGATTTTAGAGGAACACAGTTCAATCCATAACAGATGGGAGGCACTGGAGGAGGAGCAGAGGCCGGGGCTGCACAGTCTGGCTGCGGGGAGGGGTGAGCTGTTTTGGACGTGTTGAGTTTGAGGTGTTTGTGGGACAGACTAGGGGAGCTGGTTGGCTTTAGAGTCTGGAGCTTAAGAGAGTCATCTGTACTGGAGATTTGGGAGTCAGGGGGGTATGGCTGACAGTGGATGCTACAGAACTAATCACCCAGAGAGAGGGTGTGGGGGAGAAGAAAACCTTGGGAAAAACAGCATTTAAGAGACAGAAGGTCCTGCTAATGGTGCCCAAGTGTCTGCTCTATTTTCAGCCCCTTCTCCATTCTCAATGGCACAGCCTTTCTTCAGACCCTCTTCGTCTCTCCCTTGGATGCTGTGACAGCCTCCTAACCAGTCTCCCTGCCTTCACCCTCTCCCCTTCCAGCCCATCTCAGATTCCACATTTCATGCATATCTGTGTCCTCTGATGTGTTTTAAACCATTCAATTATCTCCCTCCCCGCCTTACCCCAAGATAACATCCTCATTCCTTAGCATGGCACTCAATGCCCTCAGGATGTGGCCCCTGTCTGCACTTATTTCCAGTCTTACATCCCACCCGGGCCTTCGCACATACCCAGCCCCTCCCCACCGAACATCTCACTATTGCAAACCCTTGCACCTCTAGGCATTTGTACATGCTGTTCCCTCAGCACGGAATGACTTTCCATCCTTTGTGCCCCTGGTGAACTAATCCTTCAGGACTCCTGCAAAGTTGTTTCCGTTTCTGTGCTGCCATAGTCTCTAGTGTGTCCCGTAATCACATTGCACCCTAATTATCTGGCTGCAAGTTGCTGTCCGCACTAATCTGAGCTCTTCCAGGCCAGAGACTGTGGCTAATGCAAGCCTGTATCCCTACCCTGGCAGCCCAGGGAATGTCTAGGGGCAGGGGGCGGAGAAGGGAAGGGTGCACAAATAGCTTCACATGGCCCCTGGGTGGAACACATGCCCCGTGGTTGCTCGTAGCGCCTACATGGACAAGGCCAGCGACCCGGCGGAGCAGGAGGTTCTCATCGATGAGCAGCTGCACTCCCCAGAGGGCCTGGCGGTGGACTGGGTCCACAAGCACATCTACTGGACCGACTCGGGCAATAAGACCATCTCAGTGGCCACAGTTGATGGCGGCCGCCGATGCACTCTCTTCAGCCGGGACCTGAGTGAACCCCGGGCCATCTCTGTCGACCCCCTGCGAGGGTGAGTGTGCAAACCTCCAGTTTCCCATTCCCCCACCACAGGCACTCGTTCCTCATGGGTCTGTCACAAGCACAGGCCATGGGGAAGAAAGTCCACATGGCCCACTCAATCTGCAAACCTCGACCCAGGGTTCTTTGGGCATTGGTCACCAGGGTTCTCCCTGGACCCTGCCACTTACTCATTGTATCAGGGCTCCAGAGAGTGTTCCTGGGTCAGGAAGCCTTCCCTGAAGCTGCTGGCAGATGGGCATCTGGCTGCTGCTCGCATACTTCCAAGGACGGGGAGCTCATTACCTCCCATAGGGCCTGTTTCATTATTGGGGCAGCTCTGCCCATTAGGAAGTTTTTGTTTTTTTCTCATGTTCCCACATCTGCTTCCCTGTAACTTCCTCCATTTGCATGAAACAAGGCCACTCTCTACCCTGCAGCATAGCTGGCAAGATTGGAGGACCAAGACCACTGGGTCTGCTCTGCTCCAGTCTGCCCACCTCCTCCCCACACCCACTGCCCACGGTCTCTGGACCCCTCACCACCCAGGCTGCTCTGCTCTGGCCACACCTCAGTATTGGGGGTAGGGGTTCTGAACAGAGCAGGACCCACTCCCTCCCTCAGTGGTGATGTCCTGAGATGGCATTGGTTTTTCAGCAGCTACATCACACTAAATTTGCCAGGATCACCGGCTTCTTCCTACTGCTATTTCCTTACCTGTTAAACATGGATAAGAAAACCCTCTGCTTCCAGTGAGGGCAGCTGGGTGTGGGGTCGAATGAGAGCATGTACCAGGCCTAGGGAAGTGACTGACAGCTGCCACTGACCGAGCACGTCAGGTGCCCCAGCCCAGTACCAGGTCCTCTACAGATGCTGATCGCCTCACAGACCCTCACCTCAGCCCCATCAGTGGGGCATCGTTGCTCCCTGTCCGTTCTCACACAGACCTGGTGCTGCTCTGCCACACCCTGTCCCCCAGGCTATATATTTACCCCAGGCTGTTACTACCCCTAGGCCTGAGGGGGCAAGAGCAGGGAGGGTTACCTGAGCTGGGAAGGAGAGAGTGGCATAGAGAGGGGCACCTTAGAGCATCAGCCAGCTGGAGGCAGCCTTATAGCGAGGAGTCAGGAGAATAAATATCCTGACCTCAGTCTCTTCCCACTGCCCAGTATTTCACTGAATCCGTCTGAAAGCCAGAAGGCAAGGGAGCCAGTCCCGTTAATGTGGTCTGTATGAGTCAGCTTTTGAGTGTACAGAGCAGAATGGAGATGGTGGGGGGTGAGTCCAAAGCAGCAGTCGGATAGTATCCAGGACAAACACTCAGCCCCCTAGCCCAAAATCAGCCTTGGCTTGGCACCAGGTTTCAGAAATGGCAGTTTTGGGGAGCATTAAGTAGATAGGCTTTGGCGTCTGGGCGGTTAAATTTGAAGCCTGGCTCCACTATTTACTAGTGAAATGATCTTGGAGAAGTCAACCCCTGCTGAGTCAGTTTAGTCATCTGTAAAATGGGGCTAATAATTATACCCTTCTAGGGCTGTTGTGAGGCTAGAATGAAATCATTAGTTTATTCAACAAATATTAAGTAAGAACCTACTATGTACTATGCATGAGCTAAGTGTCAGGTATAAAGCGAGGAATAAGACAGACAAAGAGCCTGCCTTTAGGGAGCTTACAGACTAGTGGGGGAAATGGACACTAAATAAATACACCACACTACACCAATGCATACATAAATTACTGATTGCTATGGAAGGAAAAGGAGCCCTGGTGGTGAAGTGGTTAAGCGCATGGCTGGCTGCTAACCAAAAGGTCAGAGGTTCGAACCCACCAACCGCTTCATGGGACAAAGATGTGGCAGTCTGCTCCTGCAAAGATTTACAGCCTTGGAAACCCAATGGGGCAGTTCTCCTCTGTCCTACAGGGTTGCTATGAGTTGGAATCGACTCAGTGGTAGTGGGTTTGGTTTTGGTGATGGGGGGAAGAGAAGGGTGCTGTAAGAGATAATAACAGGGAAAGCCTACTTAACGTTGGAGGCTCAGAGAAAGATCCTCTATAGAAAAGACATTTAAGCTGAGAACTAACCAGGGGAAGAGTGGAGACAATAGCATGGGTGAAGATCTGTGGTGAGAAAGCCTTGGTGTCCTGGAGGAACTAAGAGATGCCGTGTGAGGCAGGTGCAGGGTTTATAAGCACAGGGAGCGGCAGGAGGGCCAGCTGGAGAGGTAGGTAGGCGTGCGATCATGCAGAGCCCTGTAAGCTGTGGTCAGGATTTGGGATTTTATTTTAAAGGCAATATGAGAAGCCACTGTAGCTTTAAAAATAGGAGAGTGACAACTTATTTCCATTTTTCAAAGCTCTGTAGACTGTATTGGGGGGCAATGATTTCTGCATTTGTAAGTACATGAGGGGAACCACTCAGCCATGCCTGGCACGCAGTAAGCACTCAATACATGTTTCAAGAAGAAAGAGAGAAGCCCTGGACAGAGTTCCCGCTTGGACTCCTGTGTGACCCTGGGTAGGTCAGCCACTTTCTCCTCTGTAAACTGGGGAAGTAAGAGAGTGTACAAGGGCCCTTCCTGTCTGACATTCTAGGAGTCTGGGTAGAGCTGCCAGAAGTGGATGACCTGGTCAGGGGGAGGTTGCTGTCACAGAGGCTGTTCAGCTGAGGCTGGGTAGACTCAGGTCATATAGGCTTCCCCAGGTGCTCAAATTCTAAGATTTGATGATTCCACAGGATTTCAGAGGCCTTGCCAGTTCCCACAAAGGATACTCCTTGAGCTTTCGGTGGGTTATTGAGCTCTTGTGACCCAGACCACCTCAATCACATCCCCAGACAAGAAGCCAAATTGGGTTCTTCTCTCTTTTAGGTTCATGTATTGGTCTGACTGGGGATACCAGGCCAAGATCGAGAAGTCTGGGCTCAACGGTGCAGACCGGCAAACACTGGTGTCAGACAATATTGAGTGGCCCAATGGTATCACTCTGGGTGAGACCTGCTGTCCTTGGATTGGGAGCCTGTTGTAGCCCCTGGTCCTGACCACTGCCTAGAGCTCCATGGGTCTGATTTCTGGGTCCCCTCTTGGTGTCAGTGCCTTTGTTCCCTGATGGTTGCCCCAGGCTGACCTCAGTCTGAGGTCTGGCCTGGAAAGATGGGCAGGGAGGGGGCACAGAGGAGCAGAGATCCAGGCTGGAGTCCCAGGCTCATGACCTGAACCCTTCCCTCTCATCCTGCCCAAGATTTGCTGAACCAGCGCTTATACTGGGTGGACTCCAAGCTGCACCAGCTGTCCAGCATTGACTTCAACGGAGGCAACAGGAAGATGCTGATTTCCTCCACGGACTTCCTGAGCCACCCTTTTGGGGTAGCTGTGTTTGAGGTGAGCCCCATGGGGGGAGGCATGACCCCACCAGGAAGCCAAAGCCTAGAAAAGGCTTATTCAAATAAGACAAGTCCCTGAGACTTATCCAAATGGAAACAAAGCAACAGAGAGACCAACTGACTTGTTTGTACAAAATTAGTGAGCTGCCTACATACAGAGACTTTGCAGCCCATTGACCTCCTTTCGTGTGCTCCCTTCCCAAGACTCTCTCTCAGAGCACTTCTCAGAGGGTAAATTGCTAGACCATGTATATTTCCTCTCTGTACCCCCAGCACCCAGCACTGTACCCACATATACAGAAGGTGCCCAAGAGGGAGAGAGGGAAGAAGGAATATGCATTTCCTTAGAATTATTTACTGTTGAAAATGGCCTGAGAAATACTACTTAATTCAATACACTTTTACTGAGCTTTGCTGGACCCTGGGGACATAGAAATGACTCTTAGTCCCAAGAAGCTCCCAGGAAGTGGAAGAGTCAAGACACCTTCCTGTGTTCTGACCCTGACAACTTTCCCCTCTGGGAATGAAGAAGCCAGAACCCACCAAGGTCTCACACACTCACCTCTTTCCTAAAACTACTTCCCACCATGGGAGGAAAAGTGAGGGGACATTGGTCTGGGTGGGCCTTGGCAATGTTTGCTTGGAACAACATCACTAAGCACTGCTCTGAAATTGTGGGGAAAGCCCCATCTCCAAGTCCAGCCCCTGCTTCAAAAGACAGGTGTGTGTCCAGACACATGTGTATATGCTTATACATATGTGCACGTATGTGTAAAGTATGTATACGTGCGTGTATGTATATATAAATGCAGCAGTGTGAAAGTGTGCATTCCTATATGTGTGCTGGTGCCTGTGAATGGCTAAGTATGTGCATCAGTATTCAGACAGGTTCTTGTGTGGCCACAGTGTACCTTATGTGTAGATGAGCATTTGGGTACGCGTGTACATGCGTGCGTGAGGCTGCATGGTTGAGCCTGTAAATGTGGGTTTGCCCATAGATGCACCTAGGCTTGTATGAGCTGACCGTATGTACTCAGACATGTGGACACCTAGAGGCTGCCCTCAGTAGCTCACATGGCCCCTCCAGTCTTGACCCCAGTAATGTAACAGCTATAGAGACCCAACCGTGGGTTTCTTCTGGACTCCAGGAAGCAGGCCTCACTTGGCATTAATGAGCAGCTTTGTGGCCTTCAAGCTAAAGCAGAGAACCACAGAATGACCCTGTGACAGAGCATACACCACAGATCAGAGGCTGATGGCCGCAGAGTGATTCCTGGACAGGATAGCCTGGAGAGATGTCGGAGCAGTTCTTGTGACTGTGCTTTAGGGCCGAGCCCAGGAACCCTCAGATAGAGGTCATGCGTTTAGGCTCTAGGCCTTCCATTCTCTATATCTGTACCCCACAGGACAAGGTGTTCTGGACAGACCTGGAGAACGAGGCTATTTTCAGTGCAAATCGGCTCAATGGCCTGGAAATCTCCATCCTGGCTGAGAACCTCAATAACCCACATGACATTGTCATCTTCCATGAGCTGAAGCAGCCAAGAGGTGAGCCTTGCCTGGTCCTGGGTCCCCTGCTGTGTCCTCTCCACGAGGCAGGCTGTGCTCACTTCCATGGCATGTCTTAGCACCCAGAAGTAATAACAGGAATCTTTTTTGTTGGTAGAGTGCTTGGCCATCACATATCTCATTTTGTCTCAAGCTTTTTGTGAAATCAGACTAGATAAAAATAAATATACAAATGTCATATTTTTGCCAGTCTTATGAAGTGTGAGTATTACTGTTCTCGTTTAACAAGGAAAACAGAGATAATGTTAGAGGTGGCAGAACTAGAACCTGAACTCAGGTCTGTCTGATTCCAGAGTTCTTCCTGCCATCAGACATGGCTTCTCATTTGTTATTTGTACTCATTTTGCAGTAGGGTAAGCTACTGTATGTGTCTTACCATGGGCCATTCAGTAAGTCAGCCTGTTGGCTAGTAATGGAATCCAGGAATCCTGCTACTAGGTTGTCCACCCCTCTATCAGTAGAATATACTAACTCTAACTATACCTGAGATGTTGGCTTCCGGGGTGAAGGTGGGAATGGGGAGGAAGGTGAAGAGATGAAGTTTGGTGCCTGATCTGAAATCTAGAAATTTAAATGAGCTGAAGGACCCTGGGCTTTGGAGTCAAACAGACCTGGATTTAATTCCTGATTCCAACATTACTAGAGGTATAGCTTCAACAAGTTCATTCTTTCTGAGCCTAGGCATCTTTATCTGTCAGTCTAGGGCAAAACACCCACTTCTCAGAGTTGTTGTAAGGATTATGTGAGAGTGTGGGGATAAAGCACCAGGTACAGAGCTAGTAGGTGACCAATAAGAGTAGAAGGGAAAGCTTTTTGAGCAAGCAGAGTGGGAGGGGCGACCTGGCAGGTCTTGTCTGTGCCCCAGCTGTCTCTTGCTCTGTCTTTCTGCCATTAGCTGCAGATGCCTGTGAGCTGAGTGCCCAGCCCAACGGAGGCTGTGAGTACCTGTGCCTTCCTGCTCCTCAGACCTCCAGCCACTCTCCCAAGTACACATGTGCCTGTCCTGACACCATGTGGCTGGGCCCAGACATGAAGAGGTGCTACCGAGGTAAGCTCAGCTACCAGGAGGGCAGGTCCTGGTGATGCCAGACCCCTTCCTGCTGACAGCTTCCCTTGGCTTCTGGGACACCGTATGCTTCTGGTTTTCCTCTCTGGCTACTCATTGCCTTTGCAGCCTCCTCTCTTTACACCCTTTGAGTACTGGTGTCCCCCAGGGTCCTTCGAAGGCTTTCTCTGCATACTCCCAAGAAACGTGCACATGTACATATGTTTTTCATTCAGTTTCAGGGAGTTTCTGGACCCCCTTGAAGTCCTCAGTTTAAGAACCCTTGATGCCCATGGCTTCAGTTACTATGCGTCACGTGCAGATGGCTCTGTGCTTTCCTACTTCACCTAAAACTTAAGACACTACATAGAAGCCCTTTCATGATGTCATTGGGACTAAAAGTTAGTTAGTGGGTTAATACTGTAACTACATAAATTTACATTATTTCACCAATCTTGATGTAGGGCCGATGTTTTTTCTTTGAGCGTAAGTCTGCTGCATCGTTTATGACTTACAGTTTCAACTGTTTAAAGTGCAGTGGAATTTAAACACAGTAATGGTGTAGCAATGAGTGTAAATCCTTCTAGATTTATATGATCTCCCACACACACACACCCCTAATTCTCCCCCCCCCCACACACACACACCTTATTCTACAGCATTGTCTTAATGACTCATCTTTATCAAACCAAAGTGAGGCATAAGTATAGACAAAGTGTTTGGGACTCAGCTAAAGAAAAGCTCACTGCCCATTCAGGGGGGTTACAGAAGGCTTCACAGAAGTGGCTTCAGAGCTGAGCCTTGAAAGATGAGTTCATGAGTATAATTCACGGAGGCAAGTAACTTATGCACTAAAGCAGCAAAATTCTCTGTCCAAGTGACCTCTCTGACATTTCCCCTCTAGTACCTCCATCTACCTCAACCACGACGTTATCCTCTACCACAACGAAGACAGTAGCTGCCACCACAAGAGCCCCTGGGACCACTGCCCACAGCCCCACCTACCACAACCACAGCACAGAGACGCCGAGCCTGGCTACTTCGGTCTGGAGCTCCGTTAGCGTCCCCAGGGCTCCCAGCATCAGCCCATCCACCGCAAGCCCTGCAACCAGCAACCACTCCCAGCACTGTAAGGAAATGAGTCCTCCATTCTTTCTTTCTTTTTTTTTTTTTTTATTGTTGTGCTTTAAGTGAAAGTTTACAATTCAGGTTAGTTTCTCCTACAAAAATTTATACATACATTATTATGTGACCCTGGTTGCTCTCCCTATAATGTGATAGCACACTCCTCCTTTCCACCCCGGATTTCCCGTGTCCATTCAGCCAGCTCCTGACCCTCTCTGCCTTGTCATCTCACCTCTGGACAGAAGGGTCCCCCATTCTTTCATGACATGGGAAGGGGTCTAGGGAAGCCAGAAGGGGGGAATCTGTGGGGAGAAGAGATCAGAACAGAAGGAAAGGAATACTGAATATCCTGGAGGAGGAAGCAAAGGAGGCAGAGTGCCAACCTGCGATTCAGGAGTCTGAGGTGTGCCTCACTTACTGAGGTCCTGACGGGAAGCTGCTTCTCCTCTAAACCTCAGTTGCCTCACCTACAAAGTTGAAGTAATAATAACCCTGCCCCTCCCTATGTCACATGATTGCCCTGAAAGACGAAGGAGACAGCGTAAACAGAAGTGCTTACGCACACAGCCTCTGTGGCTGGGCATGCGTGTCTGTGTTTCACGCGTCACTGACGTGTGTGTGAGGGAGTGTCTCCGGGTTTGAAAACTTCAGAAGCTCTGGGTAGGCTCCCCAGATAGTCATATACACAGCTATGGTCCGCTCGTGCGTCTTTCCAAACCCTAGGATGAAAATAATTAAGTTCAGCACTTACTAAATCATCGGGGGCAGTAATTGTCACTGCTAGAGATGTTCTGTCTCATTAACCAGCAAATGCCTTTTTAATTGAGTTACCTGCCAGGGAGAGTTCATGTGAAAGGATAAACTATCTTTTAAAGTTTTTTCCACACATGATGGCCCAGAAACCAAGCAGCTTGGCAGCATCTTTCTAATTGGGCTCGTTTTGCCAGGCAGTTGGATTTTCTGAGTTGAGCACTTACCCTGAAGTTTGGACAGGCAGGTGGAACACATGTGAGCTTCAGTCCCCGTCATCTGGGGGCAGAGCCTCTGAAGGGAGTCTCACCGCTGGCTTCATCATACTCCAGGCTTTGATATTGCTGTCTTGTGTTTGCTTGGCCCTGGAGCAAGAGGGCGGCAGCGTTCCCACAGTTTGCTTTGTAAGCAGTCCAGCTCTTTTCTCCCCTTAATATTTAGATTTCCTGGAGTGACTCTGGAGCCCTGGTGGCACAGTGTTTAAGAGCTACAGCTGCTAACCAAAAGGTCAGCAGTTCGAATCCACCAGCCACTCCTTGGATACCCTATGGGACAGTTCTACTCTTTCCTATAGGGTCACTTTGAGTCGGAATAGACTCGATAGCAACGGGTTGGGTTTTTTGGGAGTGACTCAGAAACAGACAAACTGAGAGGATGGGATTTGGGCCATTGCCTAGGGGCAACCATCTCCTGGAGCAAATGTAAATGCTAGCTTCAGAGGATTATAATGATGATAATTGCAAGAATGAAAGAAAAATGGCATAATGTACTTAAAAAAAAATACTGTACCTTTTCAAAGTAGTTTTCTGTTTTCAATGTGCTTTTTTATACTTTATTTTATTTAAGTCACATAACCCCTACCCCACTCCCCACCCTCTTTAAACTAGGCAGCACTGGGCCAGACACTGCTAAGCATTTTACGTGACTTATCTCACTTAATCCTCACAGTGTCCCTAGGAGGCAGGTAATACTATTATCCCCATTTTAAAGATAAAGAAATGTAACATAACATACATATATATAATATAAATACAGTAACTTGCACAAGTTTACACAAGTAGTGAGTAGTAGAACTGGGATTTGAACTCTAGACATCTGACTGTGTTCTTGATCCCACAATACTATACTGCTTCCCATTTTAATTATCTATTAAATATAAACTAATAATGCAGATGGACAGACCACCAAAAACAACTGACAAAGCCACAGATACTGACTAAAAAAGGCAACTCACCCAGTCAGCCAGCAACATAAACACCTAAGTGCTCACTCTGCCATGCACAGCCCCAGCTTCCTACCACCATGACGCTGAGGGAAGGGCATGGGACTTGGAGTCATAAGTCCTGGGGTCAAGTCCCAGCTTTGCCACTTATCTGTGAGTCCCCAAATGCCTCAGTAAGACTCAGTTTCCCATGTCCTGCTTGCCTCTCAGGAGTTTTGATAGGATCTGGAAAGACTGAATTATTAAGTAATAACCGGGATCATCATTTTGGAGTGAGGCTGAGAAGCAGTTGGGTCATTCTTACTGCTTGAGGCCAGCAAGGTCTTGGACCATCAGTGATGGACATCATTCTGCAAACGTCTTTGTTTTGCAGATGGGAACGAAGGTGGCAAGATGGGCTCAACAGTCACTGCTGCTGTCATTGGGATCATCGTGCCCATGGGTGAGTATGGCCCCAAGTCACTGGGCAGAGAAGAGAGGCTCTGCCAAGGGCCTGCAGAAAAGCACTAGAAGGATAGAACACTTGACCCACTGACCTGCCCTGGCAGCCTTCCTGCCCACTCCTAGCCCTGATTTAATTTGTTTTTTTTAGCTTGGCACACAGGCCCTTCAGGACCCAGCCCCAAGCCACTGTCCAGTTGCCTCCCCCATCATGTTCTCATTCACACTCTGCTACAGCCACAGGAGCCCAACTGTAGGCGCCACGAAGACAGTGCTGGCTCTTCTTGCTCACCACTCCCTCCAGGTCCTAGCAGGGTCTGGCACATGGTAGGAAATCAAACATTTGTTGAATTAATGAGTAGAGCTGCTTGCCATTTCTTTACTCGGCCATGCTGTCTTCCTCTCTTTCTGTCTGGTTCTCAACAAACATTTATCAAGCAGCTACTATGTGCCAGACTCTGTGATAAGGGGGGAAGAGGGTGCTTGAAGACGAATAAGACATGGTTCTTGTGGTCCCTAAGTGTATAGTCTTGTGGGGGAAGGGGCACACATACACAGATAATTTCATTATAGCGTGGTTAAGTCCCAAGATTGAGCTGTATGCACTGAATTGAGTGGAAGTGCTGAGGAAGCACTTAACTCAGACTGTGGGGAGAGAAGAGGGCAGGGAAGGTTGGTTTTCCACTGGAAATGATATTTGAGCTGAGTCAGCCAACTGAAGAAGGATCAAGAGCAAGCCAGGCAGAGAAGACAGCACGAGCAAAGCCAGGAATGGAAAATAGCATGGAAGGTTAGGAACTAGAAGTTCGTTATGGCCAGAATATAACATTTGTTTAAGCCTCTCAGAGAACCGTGGAGACCAATTCATTTCTCTCACTCCAGTGCTCACATACTATCTTGTACATCCCACCTCTCATACTGGTGCACCTCTTGGTGGGATCTTTAATTTCTGATTGTCCATTCATAGGTTTATCTCCCTTACTTGTCTGTGACTATCTTAAGGGAAAAGACTTTGTCCTTTTATTCTGGGAATCCCCAGTATAGTGCTGAGTTAGTGAGTGAATGTTTTGAACACTTCTATCTGGTGCAGGACACTGTGCCAAGGATACAAGGAAGAAAAAGAAAAAGACTTTAAAGAGACTTGCAGTCTAGTCCAGGAGACAGACTTAATCATAAATGACTGGCACAAGGTAGATGTTAATACATACTATCCTGTGTTATAATAGAGGCTGGTGCTCTGTGGAGGAATAGTAGAGGGAGAGATTAATTCCAGATGAACAGTGGTGCTTCTGGAGACCATGGCATTTGAATTGGTCTTGAAAGGCTTCAACAGAAAAGATGATGGTGACACTATTCCAGGCTTATTTTGAGTGAATAAGTGGGAAATACTCAGAACATTGTTTATTGAAAAAGAAATGAGCCCCTTCCTGCCATCCTCTGCTCTATAAAAAGGCATGTGCATGCCATTTCCTTATATACCCCACCTCGGATATAATCAATATTTTAAAGTTCTGCTAATCTAAGGAGTGAAAAATGAGTATTATCTGTCTGATATTTGCCTGTGAGGTTGAGCATCCTTTCATTTATATTTCATCTTTTACAAATTACCTGTTCACTTCTTTTTTAATTTTTTTATTGGTTTTTTGCCCTATTCTGAGGAGCCATGGTGGCACAGTGGTTAAGCGCTCAGCTGCTAACTGAAAGGTTGGCGGTTCAAATCCACCAGCTACTCCTTGGGAGGAAAGTGTGGCAGTCTGCTTCCGTAAAGGTTTACAACCTTGGAAACCCTATAGGGCAGTTCTGCTCGTCCTATAGGGTTGCTATGAGTTAGAATTCGATTTGACAGCAATGGGTTGTTTTTTTCCCCCTCATTCTTATTTGTAGAAATACTTATATATAATGAATATTAAACCTTTGTAATATATGTTAAAAAAATTTTTTTCCCAGTCTGCTGCTTGAATTTTAAATTTGTTTATGGTATCTTTTATCATGCATAAATTTTTAATTTTAACTATCAGATCTGTCAGTCGTTTGTTTTATGACTTCTGGGTTTTGTGTCTTGCTTAGGAAGGCCTATCTCACTCTAAATTATTAAAATATCTTTCTGTATTTTCTTCTACTTTAAACATATCTTTAGTATTTAGATACTTAATCAATTTGGAATTTATTTTGGAGTGTGGTGTGAGGTAGGAATTTAACTCTTTTTTTTCCATCTGTCTGACTAGTCTCCCCAAGACTTTATTGACTAGTCCATCCTTTCTATCTGATGTGAATCATCATCTTTATTATAAACTATATGCCCATATATACTTTGATCTGCTTCTAGACTGTTTATTCTCCTCCACTGATTATCTGTTTCTTCTTATATACTAGTAGCACAACTTTTGAGATACGTTTTAATGTCTAATAGGGGATCGTTCTCACAACATTTTCTCAGCTATTTTTATTCAGCCTCTCTTCTAGATGAACTTTAGAATCATCTTGTCAATTCCATAAGCATAATGATAGAATTTTTATTGAGATTGCTTTGGATATATACACTGATGTGGGGAGAATTTACATCTTTACAATATTGAACCTTCCCATCCAGGAATATTACATGTTGATTTATTTGAGTCTTTTTTTATGTTCTTCAGTAGAATTTTATAAATCATGTAAAAAACAAACAAACAGACAAACCCATTGCCATCGAGTGGATTCCGACTCATAGAGACACCACAAGACAGAGTAGAACCTCCCCAAAGGGTTTCCAGGGAGTGGCTGGTAGATTCGAACTGCCGATCTTTTCGTTAGCAGCTACGGCTCTTAACCACTGCGCCACCAGGGCTCCATAGATCATATAGGACTTGGATATTTCTTGTTGGGTTGTCCCAGGTATTTTATAGTTTTTGTGAATGTGTCCTTATTCCATTACATTTTCTAATTGGTTATTGCTGATTAATATGAAAGCTATTGATTTTTTATGTTGATTTGTGATGAACTAAAATTATTTCTAATAGTTTTTATCTGCTTCTCTAAGATTTTCTAAACATACAAGTAGCTGTTACAACAGTTTGGGTTCTTCCTTTCCCATCTTTATACCCTTCAATTCTTCATCTGTTCTTACTGCATCAGGTAGATCTCCAGGGCAATAAATAAGTAGCAGTGATAACAGGTATCCTTGCCTTGTTCCTGTCTTTAATGGATATCAGCTATTCTAATCTTACCAAAGCAGGAACCTCTTCTCTATCTTCCTAGATAGGGGAGTCATTAGTCTTCACCTGAACGCTCAGAGTGTTTACTTACTGCCTTATGGAGCTGCTTGTCCTGTTTTGGCCCAGCTCTGTTGGAGAGCGCTTCCTCTTTTACTCATTAACGTATTCATTTATTCTAACCCAGAGCCTGTGTGGCCCTGCTGTGTCCCCTTCTAGAGATGCTCCTCTTCTGGCTGAGCCCAGTTTTGGAAATAAACACTGCACCTCACCCTCCAGTTTGGGGAGAGAATGATTTTCTTAGAGAAAACCAGGGAAGCAACAGTATTAGGGCAAAAGTGCGGTGAGGAAATCCACTCATTCATTGTGCACGTGTTACTGAGTGCCTACTCAGTGCTAGGCACTGGGCACAGAGAGATGGATAGACAAGCCCCTCCTTCGAAGGGCTCAGTCTGGTTGGGGGTAGAGATGTGTAAAGTAAGATAACTGTGGTCTGGAAGCATACGTGACAGGGCAGCTGACTCTACCTAGAGGGAGGACTTCACATTTGAGCTGGATCTTGAAGGATAAGGAATTAATGAGGGAGAGAAGGGCATCCCGGGCAGCAGAAACACAGCCTGAGGGACAGGGGCAGTAAAGTTGGAGAGGGGACAAGAAATGCACAGAAGTCCGAGTAACGGGCGGGAGCCTGCTGGAGGTTCCAGTGTGACGTGTCCCTTCCTCCAGCCGTGATAGCCCTGCTGTGCACGAGTGGCTACCTGATCTGGAGAAACTGGAAGCGGAAAAACACCAAGAGCATGAATTTCGACAACCCAGTGTACAGGAAGACAACCGAGGAGGAGGATGAAGATGAGCTCCATATAGGGAGGACTGCTCAGATTGGCCACGTCTATCCTGCAGTAAGTATTCCTTGCTAGGAGAATTCCTTCCTTCCTTCTCATCTTCTTTCCCTTCCCTTCTTCCTTCCCTCCCTCCCTCCTTCCTTCCTCAAACATTTACCAAGAACCTACCATGTGCCAGGCACTGTTCTAGGCCCTGGGGACACAGAAATGCCGGGGCAGGTGGTTGGGGTAGAAGGGCAACAGGGCTGCCTTGCACCTAGAAGCTCTTCCTGGCAGTAAAGTCTTTATTTCTGCAGAGTAAGTTTTAAAAACCTTTGGCCTGGAAGTTGTAACTTTGGCCATTCAATTCAAATGTATTCAGTTCAACAAACACTGTATGCCAGTTATGTGCCAAGCGCCATATTAGAGGTATCAAGTGTTCAAAAGTAAATAAGGAATGGCGCTTTGCTCCCAGGGAGCTCGTGGGGGAGTAGAAATGCTAACGTTATTGTACAACCATGTGCCAAGTGCCATGGTGGAACCTCATGAGTCCCATCTTCTAGGAAGCTTTCTCTGGCTTACTTTGTTCTCCCACAGTCCTCTGGGCCTCTCTGCATCACAGTACCTGTCACACAATCTTCTACTTGTCTTTTTGCTTATTGGTCTCCCCATTAGACCGTGAGCTCCTTGAGGGCAGGGTTGTCTGATTAATCTCTTTCCCTGGTGCTTAGCACAGCATAGCTGTCTCCTTCTAAATATTTGTTGAATAAATGCTGTGGAAACATCAACAAGGCAACTATTAATTTCGTTGAGGGAACCAAGCAGGGAATGCCTCACAGAGTAGGTGACAGGTGAAGTGTGTCCTTGAAACATTAATAGCAGTTTTCCAGGTAAAGAAGGAGGGAAATGCATCCCAGATGGAAGCATGTGCAAAGGCTTAGAGGCACAACAGAGCATGTCTTGTTGGGGGAGCAAGGACCACCAAGTGGCTGGAGCAGATGTCATTCTTGTGTAGCAGAGTCAGGGGGCTGAGTGTGACCTCAGAGGTCATCCAGTCCATCCCCCTGTCAGGCAATCAGCAGCTTTGACCGCCCACTGTGGGCAGAGCCCTGTCTTGGGGAGACCAGAGAACTGGAAGACCCAGCCCCTGCCCTCAAGGAGCTTTTTGTCTTGCCGGGGGAACCAAGGTCACAGCTGCACCAACTCCCGAAGAACCCTCTTTCCGAGCTGCCTGTCGTCAAGTGCAAGGTAGGGCAGTGCCACTCTGAGTCCGAGGGGCTGGTGAGTGAGGGCGTGAACCCAGCCAGGTGCAGCCAATCCTAGAAAGCTTTCTGGTTCTGGAAGGCTGCAAACTGCAAGCTGGGTGTGGGGGCAAAGAGGAAACATGGGCTAGTTGCAGACTGAGGAAATGGCATGTGGAAGAAGCAGTTGAGTGTGGGGCAGAGCACGTAGAATTGCTGCTGAAGCCAATTGTTCATGAAGGGGAGACATGAGAAATGAAGATGAGCAAGTGAGGAGGGTTAGCAGATGGCCTCGAGGATCCTTAGCCTCAGCCAACACAAGCAAATGGTTGTTTAACCGATGTTTAAAGATCAGAGAGAGCATCGAGTATACAGTGGAAGAAGCATTGAGCCTGGAGTGAGGTGATGATGCCCTGCTTCACTATTCCACTGCCCTGTAATCTTATCCCTTCTCTCTGCTCACTTTTATTTGTAAAATGGGAATAACAATCCCCATTCTATCTACCTCTTGAGTTTGTAAAGTTCAAATGAGATAGCACATGTGAGAGCACTTCGTGAACTATAACACACTCTACACATGTAAAGTGGCATTACTTCCCGGGAAGGAAATGATGACTCAGGAAGAGCTATTCCTGATGGGTCTAACACCCGTGTAATAAGTTTCTGTCAGTTGTAGACTAAGAGAGTAGTAGAGTGAGGAAATCAACATTTAGTGAGCACCTACCATGTGTAAGGCACTGCACTTGGTGTTTTACAGGCATTTTCTCATTTAATCTTCGCAGTAAGGTTATAAAGTTGATATATTAGCCCCATTTTGCAGATGAGGAAACTGAGACTCAGAAATTTAGTAACTTGCCTAAGGTCCACATAGGAGTCCCTGAGTGACGCAAATGGTTACTTACGTACTCAACTACTAGCAAAAAGTTTGGCGATTCGAACCCACTCAGAAGCGCCTCAGAAGACATACCTGGCAATCTGCTTCCAAAAGTCACAGCCTTAAAAACCCTATGGAGCAGTTCTACTCTGTACACAAGGGGGCGCCATGAGTCAGAATCAACTTGACGGCAACTAACAACAACAGCAAGGTCACATAACCGCGAAGCAGCAGAACGAGGATTCAAACTCTGCTCTGTATTTACACAAAGGCCCATGCTCTTTCCGCTATAAACCAATAAAAACCGAACCCACTGCCATCCAGTTGATTCTAACTCATAGTAACCCCATAGGGTTCCCAAG